ATATTATTTTGAATTAGTTTCAGGTGTATAGCATAGTGGTTAGGCAATCGTATACTTTATAAACTGTTTCCCTGGTATTTCCAGTTCCCGCCTGGTACCATACATGGTTATCACGATATTATTGACTCTATTCCCTGCTCCGTGCTTCGCATCCCTGTGACTATTTTCTAACTGCTGATTGTACTTCTCAATCTATTCACTTTTGTACTCAGTTCCCTAAACCCCCTCCCCTCTGGCAACTGCCCGTGTGTTCTCTGTGTCTATGAGTCTGTTTCTCTTTTGTTTGTTCGTGTATATTGTCCTTTAGATTCCACATGTAAGTGAAGTCATATGGTAGCTGTCTTTCTCTGAGTGACTAATTTCCTTTCACACCCTCAGGGTCCATCCATGCTGTCGCAATGGTGACATTCTTCAAGTGCTGGGACTAGAGACCCTGCTCATGGCTGAACCCATGGCAGTGACGAATGTCGGAGGGAATCAGAGAAATCAGAACCCTCATACGTATTCCCATCACATTCTGGTGGGATTGTAAGACAGCCTTGCGCTATGATCACACAGGTGGCATCTAATAATAATAATAATTTTTTAAATAAATAAAAATTTAAAAACCCAAACTCAGAGATAATGGAGAACAAACTGGAAGTTGCCAGAGGTAGAGCATAGGGTGGGGCAAAGGGGTGAAGGTGGTCAAAGGTATAAACTTCTGGTTATAAGAAAAATAAAACCTTGTTGGAATTAGTGTTTCCTAAATGTATCCGAGGGATGGCTGGCCGAATAAGAAACTAAATTTTTTTAAAAGTGTGAAACATTTGGAAAATTCTGCCTGCCTTATCTCCTTTTTAGAAAGGTATAATGAATACCAGGACAGGAGGGCTTTGAGAAGTCCCATGGTGAAAGAATTTGTTTCACTCTGTATAACTCTGTGGTTTGACCATCGAATTATCCCCACCTCTTTTCTCCCTACCATCTCTTGACATTTCATTAAACAGTTACTTTGTCTCAAAAAAAAAATAAGAAAACAAAAGGAAGATCTGAGATTTAGTGTACAACATGGCGAGTATAGTTAATAATAATACTATATGGTATATGCGAAAGTTGCTAAGAGAGTATTTCTTAAAAGTTCTCATCACAGGAAAAACATTATCACTCTGTGGTAGTGGATGTTAACTAAGTTTATTGTGGTCATTGAAGCAGGGAAGTAGGAAGCTAGGAAAATTCGTTGGCAAGTGGAATGGGGAAACTGAGACAGATAGCTGAACAAACTGACCAAGCAATTCACAGCCAGAGACAGATCACCAGGGTGGAAGGCCCCGCATGCCCAGCAAGGGGCAAAACCGGTGTTGGACCTCACCACCAGGGCGGCTGCCCCTCCCCGGGAACACCGCAGGTCATGTGGGGTAGCCCCCTGACCTCTCATATCACCAGTCCGTCATTCAGTTCTGACTTTCCCTTGACCTTTCCTCCCTGGAGAGGACATCTAGGCCTCAGCTGTATTTCGGCTACAGGGAAATAGAGCAAGAAAAGCAGAAAGACCAGGCAGGCAATGCCAGGACCAGTGTTGAGGACTAGTGACTCCCCGACTCCCCAGTGCTAACCAATCAGCAGAGACCACAACCCTGGAAACCCACACCTGAGAAGGCTGATGAATAGACCACTGAGATCTCCCCTGAGACCTGCCCTAAAACCCCCATTTTTGGAAAGCAGATAAAACCCCTTAAGACAAAGAAGCCAGCATTTTGCCCTTCTTGGGGCACACCCACTCCAATCTCTTATTTGAGTGAAGTTTCTTTCTCCTACACTCTAGACACTTGTAACGAGGGGAACAGTGGGCAATGGCAGCTCATCCCAGGCTAACCCCCCTGAACCTGTCCAAGCCCCCCTTTTCCCTGACTTCCCAGTGAGCTAACTGCAGCCCCACCTCAGCTCACTGCTTTCGTATAATGTTTCTAGGGAGCCAAAGCAGCCCCGCCTAGGCTCTCTCCTGGTACATCTTCGTGCTAAGCCCTTCCTTGTTTCCCTGTCTCCAGCTTTAATAAATGTACTCTGAAAATCACCCACACTCGTGTTGTGAAATCTTTCCTATGCAAAGTCAAGAACCCACACACCACAACCGGTCCTGCCCATCCGGTGACAATAATCATTTTGCAACATATATATATATATATATATTCCATCTTTAAGTGTGATTTCCTAAAACTAAAGCAATATTATGTATCAATTATATCTCAAATTTTTAAAAGAAAATAAACAAAGGAATTTGCACACAAGAGCTCATATCAGCATTATTCACAGTGTCCAAAATATGGACACAACAAAAATGTCCATTGATTCATGAATGGATTAAAAAAATTGTGGTATATCATACAAAGGAATACTATTTAGCATAAAAATAGAAGCACTAATACATGCTACAACATGGGCAGACTTTGAAAAATATACTATATGAAAGCAGCCTGATACAAAAGGCCACATACTATGCAATTCCACTTACATAAAATGTCCAGAATAGACAAATTCATAGCTTTAGGAGGAAGGGAGAACTGTGTACAGAGTTTCTGTGAACAGTGATAAAATCATTCTGGAATTAGATTGTGATGATGGTTGAGCAACTTTGTGAATATACTAAAACACTGCTTTGTCCAATTTTTTAAGGCGAGCTGTATGCTATATGAACTATATCTCAAAAATTCAGTCCACAGGACAGACATCTGTACCCCCATGGGACGTGGGCTAGGGGCCCAGAATGGCAGCCCCTGGCCCCAGCCAGGCATCAGATACAGTGTGCTCTGGGGAAAAACATCTTCCTTTTTAGCCCCCTTCCCTCACAAAGTCATTCACTTCTACTAAGCCCCAGCTGGACAGAGCTATGTGAGGTGTTAGACACAATTGGATTCTCAATTTGAGCTCAAAGGAGGTCACCCCCTGCCATTCACCACACACTGCTCATGGTTGCCTCTAGACAGAACCCTAAAAGGGACTGAAAGCTAGGCCATCTCTCCTGGTGACTAAGGGGCCCAAAGGAGGGCGTGGGGGCTTAGTATTTGACACATGCCTGCCTGCTTTGGATTCTGTGTGAAGACATTCTATCGTGAGCGCTGAAGAAAAGAGTTTTCTTTATTGAAACACAAAGGAATACCTCGTTGGAAGAGCAGAGTCTGACAAACATAGTGTGGGTAGTAGATACACATGCCATTCCTGAGCCACATCATCTGTCTGGAGAGCTCACCTGGGCAGTTTACCTGCAAAAACCTGGGCTTCTGTTCAACCACCCTGTGCCTCAATTCTATCATCTGTGAAATGAGTATAACAAAGAGACCTGGCTCAAGGGATTAGTAAAGCCATAAGTGGGCAAGTACATATCCCAGCTCATATACATCAACAGTTTTTAATATGATTCTGGGAACGCCATGCCCACAAAGAGAATAAGGCTCTGTTGGTAATGAAATTAACCACGTCATCAATAAACAGCTTTTTCTTTTTTTTGTTTTTTTGGGGTTTTTTTGTTTGTTTGTTTTTTGTTTTGGCAGGCAGGCGACTTCATTCTCCAGCCCATGGATCTGAAGCTGGTGTGCCAAAGGGCGGGGTGACAGAGAAATGTTGTGATCCTGGCGGCTGAAACGACTTGTTTCTGTTTCATAGCTATATCAAAAATAGCACGCAAAATGACCCACTTGTATTGACTGTTGTTGTCATTGTGAGCATGCTAAACCTGCTAGGCCGCTGAGCTTCCCGCTAACCTTGGAAAAGAGGGGAAGCCTGGGATGGGTTGTGGGGGTCACAGAATGCTACAGCCTTCAGGGGAAGGCAAAGGATTGCTGCCCTCCACGGGTTGCTCAACACCTTGTCAGAATTTGGGCTGTTTCCCTGGTCATGCAGAATAACCACCAAAGGAAGAGGTGGGTTGCCCACACCCTTTCGTGACTTCAACTTGCAAATGCAAGTTTTCGGTTTTTCAGTGTTTGAAATGGGCCTGAAAGAATTCACCACCAAGAGGAGAAAGGGTTGATTTTTTTAGGGCTTAGTTCTGGATGGGTGTAGCTGGGGGAATGTGAGGAAGCTAGAACTTGAACTTTATTCTCATTGGTATCAGAAAGGCATCTGTGTGTGTGTCCTATGGTCCAGAGGAGGCCATGATTGCAGGCCCACGAAAAGGAAGTAGGAAGGACCGTAATCGTGTCTTTACTCATATAGATTTTATGTTCATGGGTAAGGGCTGGTCTAGTTGAGAAATCAAGTGTTGGATTATTTGCAATAGCAACTATTCGAAGGCGGGGCAGGAGAGGTGTATATATTCAGGAGCTCACCCTTCACCACACACGGCCTCACAGGCTCCCTGCCCATCTGCTTCCTCCAGGAACACAGGTAAGTGCTCCAGCTGCTCCAACTTAACAACATGAATCATTTGGGGAAATAATAGCAATCATGTGTTTTCTATCATGCACTTACTGAAATATCCCATTCTGGATGAGGGGATTTTACTTATTCTGCCAGGGCACAACGCCAACACCTTCTTCATCTTGTTGTCCTTTATCAAATTTATTTCCTGGTAAACACACTCTTAGGAGTACTTTTGGAGAGTGGCAACCACATAGCCTTGAAGGAAAAGGCAAAGAGGTGCCTCAGGAGGGCTGACTGGATCTTGTCCACATGGACCATGACCTTGTCCACATGGACCATGACCTTGGTACCTGTTATAAAGCCTTTTCTGTACAGAGGCAGTGCAGCCAGTTACAAAGGAAAGATAAAGACATTCTCCTACTTTCTCACAAAACGCTTAAAGTAAAAATTGAGCTAGTCTTCTAATGATGAAATTAATATACCTACCTTATAGACGATGTGAAAGTAAAATGAACTTGAGTTGCCAGAATCCTAAAACCCAAATACAAGTCACTTCTTTAAGAAAAATTCATTGCACGGGGTACCCTTATGTTTGGTAAAGTCATTCTGTAATAAATCTGCTGCTTCCTCCAGGCGTGCCAGATCGCACCGCCACCACCACCATGGAATCCCTCAGTGAAGCAAATACCCGCTTTGCACATGATCTGTTCCAACAGCTGAGAAAATCAGAAAAGGAAAATATCTTCTATTCTCCGCTCAGTATCTCAGCAGCCTTAGCCATGGTTTACTTAGGGTCCCGAGAAAACACTGCGTTAGAAATTCAGAAGGTATGTGTCAGCTTTCTTTACATTGACCAGCTAGGGCTGGTCCTTCTGCTGGCTTATGCGCAGAGATGGTCGCAAATCTGTCTGTCCCTATGGGTAGCACGTGAGTATTTACATGACTAGTCCAACTGCTTCACTGTGTGTAAACTTCCTCTGGAAGCTGGGATAAACTCCTACCATTGCCCAACAACCAGAGGGGAGGCTTAAGTAAAGAATTATGGGTCAAAGGGATACATTGATTTAAATCCATGGGAACCATCATCACATGTGTCCTCAGCAATGAATGAATATAAATTGGATTCTTTGAAGTGGATGGTCATAGCCCACTTGGTTGTGTTCTCTCAAGGAGCAAACTCTCACACCAAAATTTTCTTTATTCTTTTTGGTTTGGTTTCATTTGGGGGTTTTGTTTTGTTTTTTAGTTTGGAGTTTAGTTTTCTTTTTTCTTCCATTCTTTTTTTTTTTTTCCTCTTAATTTCCTCAGATGTAGACAGACCTTTTGAGTAAAGTTTTTTGTCCTACTTCCTGTCCGTTCCAGGCTCTTCACTTTAATGAAGTCACAGAGGACACAAAAGGAGGAGCCACAACAGTTCACGTGAGTCATGCAGCACTTGGGTCTAGAAGGGGCATCAACTATCCAAGAGAGTCATCGTTTAAACTGGGACTTTCACATAAACTGTCAGAAGTCCATTTCATTTTTTAGGGGAAGTCTTGGGCAAGATAGACTGGATGAGCAGCATTGCTTTTTATTTCATATTACGTACTTATTTCCTATTTTTGTTTTCCTGAGAGGAGGTCAACATTGTGAGTAAGAGCACAGGTTCTGCACCCAGAACACCAGCTTCACATTTCTGCTCTGCTGTTCACACCTGGTGGCTGTCAGCAATGTGCAGCTGCTCTGAGCCATTAATTTAGGGGCAATAAAAGATGTGCCTCTTTTAACAAAAATATACTCAAAACATTACAACAGTGCCTGAATTACAGGAAACCTTGATAGAAACGTGTTATTACTATCACAGAATAACAATAATTCTAGTAATCACAATCACATTGCTAAAAATAACCATTTTAATTAACTCACAAATGGGATTAAGAAAAATAAGCATACATCCATGTATTTTGTGAAATGATTGTATGAGATGTAGGGCTCATAACCCTAACCATTCAAAACTCTAAACCAGCAGGTGGAAAGCTCTGGATTCAGATAGGCCTAGTTTCAAAAATTGGCTCTGCAACATTATGTCTCCTTGGAGAAGTTATTTAACTCTCTGTGCTTCTTCTTTTCATCAGAACTAGACTAAAGATGTAGAAATACAGATGTAAAGCCCTTAGTAGTGCACCAGGCACACATCGCTCCTACTCGTGGAGTATGACCACCATAAGTAAAGAGCGTAGATCACAGTCAATGGTCTCAGGAGCCAATACTGCCAAGCAGTATAATAGGACCTCATGTCATAGCACATTAAAATATACAAGGTTAACATTCTCATACCACTGACAGCCATTAGCAATGACATGTGGTCTAGGCTTAAGTTTAGCTGGAAAGCTAAGCTGAACCACTGAACCAATCAAAAGACACCCCAGTAGTTGCGCAGTGCTGCCTCTGTAGTTCACAGGAGAAAAGATTGAGATCTGTTAAGAAAAAAAATTATGGATGATTAAATGGAAGGATTCGATGGCTATTTGAGGTACAATACACTGAATATCAGAGAATAGCAACAAAAGCCATCCCTGGGGCTGTCAGAGGTTAGGTATGGCCCTGACAGACTTAAGTGTATGGGCTTAGTGCATAGACTTCCATTGACAGAGAATTCAGCAAGCTCACTTTTTGATGTTTGAAGGTTGAAAAGTCGGGGAACGTGCACCAGCAATTCCAAAAGCTTCTGACTGAACTAAATAAACCCACTAATGCCTACGAGCTGCACCTCGCCAACAAGATTTTTGCCGACGAGACGTTTCTGTTTCTTCAGGTAAGTTTCAGGAGTCTGCCATGCCTTCCATTTGCATCCTGGATCCTGTGTCCCAGTAACCAAACTGGGGACAGTGAGTCACATGAGCTTGGCTGACCCACATGGGGATCACGGGGATCCTTTACTCAGGCAGTTGTCAGGACCCCTCACCACAGCCCTGTCCACCAGAGTGTCCCCAAAGTGTGTGTTTAGGGGTGATTTTATGTACTGTATTTGGTCATGATTAAACATAATTTAATTTGGGAATACACAGCTACTGATCAATTAATTCTCCCTTTCTCACATCAAAGGAATACATGGATGATGTTAAGAAATTTTACCTAGCCAGTGTGGAAAATGTTGATTTTAGAAATGCTGCAGAAGAAAGCCGACAGATAATTAATTCCTGGGCGGAAAGCCAAACAAAAGGTATAGTATGAAAGGGTCACCCATGAGAAGCCACTCTGAGTCCCCACTCAGGGTGCATGCACCGCATGCCTGGCCTTCCGTAGGGTACCAGGATTGGAGCGGGGGCTGAGTTCACAGAGAGGCAGCAGGAGGGCACTACAGATGGTAGGATGGTCCAAGTTCATGTGGAGAGGAACGAGGGGACCCAGGACAGCTCACAGGACCAGCTACGTGGAAACACAGCTGGAGACTGATGGCATCTTTGTGGACCTCAAGTCTCTGCTCAGATCCCATCTTGGGTTCATATCTATTTCTTTAAACCAGAGGCTTAACTTCTGGATTATGATCCCTAAGAGAACATATTAGAAAGGGAGCCCTTATCCTCTGTTAACTGGGAAACAAATGGCTCTCCTATAAATTCCCTTCTTGCCACCTGCCTGGCCCACTCGACCATCCCTACAACATCTTCCCCGACCACAGAGAGAGCTTGACAAAGTCTCCATCCTATGAACCCTTTACTCCCTCCCACCTGCAATCTAGGCTAAACCTACAGCAATTTGACATGGGGAAGGAAGAGGAGGACCCCCCAGGGGATGGGGGCTGACCGCCCAGGGCGTATGTTTGAGATGACCCAGCTCATATCCTCCATCCTAAAGAATATTCAAGCCCTATTTCCTCTGAGTAGTGAGCCTCAATTTGAAAAAATAGAAAGGAAGGAAGGGAGGGAGGGAGGGAGGGAGGAAGGGAGAAAAGAAGAATAATAGAATGGGAAGGCAAAGGAAAGAACAGAGGAAGAGAAGGAAGAAGGAAGGGAGGGAAGAAATGCATGTGTTGGAAGAGTAGCTAAAACCAGCTCATTGGCACTCAGTGTGAGGTGGCTGAAGTTGCCCACAGAAACTCTGAGCACCTTCCGAATCATAAGAAGGGGTATTGTCTCCTCCATAGGGAAGACTCCACAAGGCTAGGGTCATGAGAAGAGCTGTACTTTGTGGATCCTTTGGCCATGGAATCCCTAATGTGACTTGGGCAAATTGCTAATGACAACTTTGACTTTCAAAGCCTCTTCCAGACAAACCACTTGTAGACCTTTGTTTGTCTTTCTTCTACAGGAAAAATCAAGGAAGCCTTTCCTCAAGGCTCTATTGGAAACGCCACCGTTCTGCTTCTGGTGAATGCCATCTATTTCAAAGGGCAGTGGAACAAAAAATTTGACCCAGAATTAACTAAGCTGGATGAATTTTGGGTGAACAAGGTATGGCTTGTTATTTATTTACATAATGAAACATAGCTCTCCATGGAATGTTTCATTTCAACACGTATTTGATTAGTGTACAACTGCAGGTAGAAAACAGAATTTTTCATGGCTGTCCTTTCTTTTCTTCTTTTTCCTTTTCTTTCTATTTCTTTTTTTTTTACTTTATTTAGTTAGGAACACTTAAAAAAAAAAAAACCCTTCTCTTTAATTCACAGATGTCCCAGGTTATCTCTTAGAAAAAGGATGTGTTTGGTATCTCGATAAGATGATCGTTTCTTCTTTAACTTGTGTCTCCCTTGGCATTTGTTCTCCACACTCATTTACTGCAGGACACAAGCAAGCCCGTGCAGATGATGAAACAAAGGGGTGTCTTTAACTTCACCCTGCTGGATGACGTGCCAGCTAAGATCCTGGAGATACCATATAAAGACAAGGACCTGAGCATGGTGTTGCTGCTCCCCAGCGAAATCGATGGTCTTCAGCAGGTAAAATCTTGTGCCCCCGATTCTTCCTTCTGTTGCCCCCTGGCCCAGGAGGACAGTGTTTGTGCGCTCTGTTCACGGAAGCGGCACTCACAGCTCATGGGTGATGTCTGACGGGGCTTAAGAACAGGTTACACTGTTTCTTCTCAGCGTACAGCCCGAGGAGGACCTGGCATTCTGTCATGTTCCAAAGTAAAAAGAAAGAAAGAAATCTCTTAAGTGTCACAGTGTGCTATGGAAGAGGATGATAGAAAATTTTCACATCACGGGTCTTGTTCATATTCTGATGAAACCATGAGTGTTAGTTCAGAAAAAATATATGTTTACCTTGGTGCACACAGAGAATATTTCATAACCATAAGAGCCTCTGTTATATTCTAGTTTGTTCATTTGAAGACAGAAAGGAAAACAACAAAGACTTTGATGTAGGTGACATGTGGAAAATATATGCAAGTTCCCATAAGCAAAAGCAAGCAAATCAAAGCACCAATAGATACCATTTTGCATACTGAACCACGGTGGGCTTATGGACGGTAGACAAGCAGACTTATCTTGATGTTCATTTTTTCAATTTAGATGAAGTCTACCCCTAGGAGCTCAAAGTCATTTAGAGCCTCTATTCTTGTGAAGGCAAAAAAAGGGAATTTTTCTCTTAACATTGTTATAATGATTAAAGGGAATATGTAAAAATATCAATAACAATATATGGCATATTGAGGATATTCCAAACACGCCATCTGCAATTACTCTAATAGTCAGTGATGCTGCTGAAATTTCTGTGAACTTGCCACACGCAAAAATTGTGCAGTAACACTGGCCATTGGAAGTCCTCAGGGACTGTCACATGGCAGGGTCTGTGAACAGCCGTAACAAGGGTGGCCCTCCCACTCAGCAATCTTCCTCTGCAATGACATCAGGAACCGCAGCCCCAGGATTTACCCTACGCCGACAAGTCCAAGTAAGGCAAAAGCTTTTGGATCCAAGTGGCTAAAAATAATCAAAAATTCAAAACAAGAAACAATCGTGCAGCTTTGTAGTGCCAACAGTTTAACTAAGGACTGATACATAATAATTGCTTAAAAAAATATTAATTACATAAAAATATATGTTAACTATCAATTTAATGGTAGTATTATATAAAAATTTAAACCTGAATAAAGAAATATATAGCTATATGGAAAATGTTTACAAATAGATCAAGCAACAAAAAAAGAATAAAAATAAGTTATATGCTATTAATTATTTTTAAAAAGTACAAAAGGACATTAACTAGAAAAGACTATTTAAAATTAAAACATGCAGTGGACAAGCAGTTAACAATGGAGATATATAGTTAATCTTTTACAAAAAAATTTTATTTAATGGTCCCATTGTTATATGTAAAATACAGAAGATTCAGTTTATTAGATATAATGTATATTGATATATTGCTGTGTATTATATAATATATAACTGAGGGTCCTGTATTTGTATTTGCTGTAACATTTCAAACCACTGTTACCTGGTGTTCAGAGTGTGCTGAGAATCGTGCCGTTTGTTCCGTTTCTCCATCCTTATAGCTGGAAGAAAAACTCACCGCTGAGAAACTGGTAGAGTGGACCAGCTCGCAGAGTATGAGCATGAGGCATGTGGATTTGCACCTCCCACGGTTCAAAGTGGCAGGGAGCTACCGCCTGCAGCGGGAGATGAAGGCCCTGGGCATGGTGGACGCCTTCAGTCACGACGCGGACTTGGCGGGCATGACGCGGGGCCGGGGGTACGAGCTGACCGACATCCTACATAAGTCCTTTGTGGAGGTCACAGAAGAGGGCACAGAGGCCGCAGCCGTCACCGGCGGAATGGTAGGGACGACCTCGGTACCATTCCACGAAAGCTTCCATTGCGACCGCCCTTTCCTGTTCTTTATCAAACACAACAAGACCAACAGCGTCCTCTTCCTGGGCAGGGTCTCCTCCCCCTCCTCCCCTTAGGCCGATCGGGCGCGGTCGCCGCGCGGGCCAGCCGCGCCCCCGCCCCGCCAGTGGCAGGGAACAGGGTTATTTAGCTTTCCTCGCCCACCTCCCAGGCATCGCTGAGAGTGGGATGCTTGAAACAGCGTGTTTGTGTCTCTTTCTCTCTATAAACAACAGTCATATGGACTTTATTTCTCTGCAGTAATTCCACCTATGGGACAAAAGGGATATTTCAAGACACGAGCTCCTAAGTTTGAAATAGCATATCTGCTGTTACACAAATCATATCTGCTATTCAAATGTATTAACCTTACACCTACGTTGGTTTAAATCTAGGTGATATCCAGGACCCTGGCCCGTCTGAATTTTTGTTTGTTTTAGGAAATACATGATCAATAAAATGGTGACTTATTCATGTAATTTGTTGCTTTTTCTTAGTCAAAGATGAAAGTCAAGCCTCATAAACTGCCTGTACTGCGTAAATCAGGGGTCACCGACCCCTGGGCCGCCGACCGGTACCGGTCAAGGGCCTGCCAGGACCAGCCCCACGCAAAGCTGGTCGGAGCTCTGCTCCCTGTCTCCCCACCCCCCTCATCTTCCACGAGACCGGTGATGGTGCCTAAAAGGCTGGGGCCCGCTGGTGTAAATGCAAGGACACATACCTTCTTCCCTTATGAAACGATACTGCCCTCTACTGGGAAAAACCCTCATGTATAATCTTGTCATGCCATCAGGACGGGGCGCCGTCAGAATTCTGCCTGCGCTGCACCCACAGCGCACGCGGGGATCAGCCGCTGTGTGACCAATGAGTGCACGATGCAGCCGCTCCCTTTAAGTCGCCCAGGAGCCTCTCCTTTCTTCTGTAAGGACTCACTTCTATTTCTACTGTAAAAGACACAAAAATCCAAGGATGTATTGATTACCTGCCTCACTGTGTGTAGTGTGGTATAGGCCATTTAATAAACAATTATGCTGCACCTACTATGTACCATGTTGGCTTAGGCAGTGGGTCTCAGATATAGAGAGAAAGAAGAAGAAAAAAAGGAGGGAAGAAAGGAAGGAAGGAAGGAAGGAAGGAAGGAAGGAAGGAAGGAAGGAAGGAAGGAAGGGAGGGAGGGAGGGAGGGAGGGAGGGAGGGAGGGAGGGAGGGAAAAGAACTCCTGAAGGCCAAAATAGGGAAACCAAATTCAGCACACAAGCCAACCAGGACTCGGAAAAATGCTCTAATGTTGATGATCAAGACAGAGTTCAAGGTCTGGAACTATAGCAGCAGTACGAACAGAATATTTACATGTAAGCACCTCAAGTCAGTCAGAAAATAGCTAGTGGGCAGTCAGAAAACTAGAACTCCACAAAACTTAAGGATCCCATAAACCACTGCTGAGGGGAGGGGAGTATGAGGGGACTAAATGGTAATGGGATAAAATACAATAAAGATTAAATAAAAAATAAAGAAATAAATGAATAAAATACTAAAATAAATAAATGAATAAATAAGTAAATAAATAAATTTTTTATTTTATACAGAAAAAAAAATAACTCAGAAATTCGGGAAGACATTTTGCAATGGACCCAGAGAACAGAACTCATGAAAGGTTCTGCAGTCCCAAGTGGCTCTGTGTGCCCTTCCCAGAGGGCGGGGCCATCCCAGGGCACGCCTCTGGGCCAGGCCCTGAGAGTCTCAGCATCTAAGGCTGTATTGTCTCTATTCCTGCTAATTATCTGCCCTAACTCGTGGAAACCAGAGACACTCATGCTCCAAAATATCGCCTAAGACGATGCACACTTCATTTGAGATGAAGGATGCACTTGCTTCTTTTCTAAGAAGGAATTTTTCACCTATATTTCATGCCTAATAATTTTAAGAAAAGAGAAGCTTTCTTTTTTTTCTTTTCTTTTCTTTTTCTTTTTTTTTAGTACGCTCTAAGTGATCAGGCTAAAGTTCACTTGGAGCTAAATTACACGTGACAAATGGCGCGTCGTCTGCAGGTTCACTGCCCTGCAGTAATGTCTATTCCAGGGACTGCACGTCAGTGACCTTGAAGCCAATGCCAAGGCAGCTGCTGCGGGGGATCCTGGACTCTGCATATCAGGACTGATGAAGTCCGTCACAGCGTCAGTCTCGCTCTTCAGAGCACGTCCCGGGTGGCACAAATGGTGGTGCTGGGAAGGTCATCCGGCCTTGCCATCCCCAAACCGCGCCCTCCCAATACACATCTGCACAAACACGGCAGTTAGACCAGTGCTCAGAAGTCCTGGGAGCGTCTGCTGACCCGCAGGGGAAGGCATGGAAAGGGTGTTAACTTTAGAACCAGTTATTCTGCCCATGTCTCTTGCAGTGAAAGTTTTTGGGTGCAGCAATGAGATAAAATTTGCTTGGAGAAGCAGAATGCATAACAATGTACGATCTGAAGTAAATATTTTCAAAATCCAGGGATTAGTCAAAGTGAGCTTAGTGAGTCAGAACTTATGAGCGCCCTTGATGGGCTTGATAGACACATTGGTGTACACTCACTTCCAAACGCCAAACATACCAACCAAAACAACCAAAAATATTTGGCTGTGGAAATGTAAACCAAACAGTGGGGACAATGCCTCTCTAACCAGGAGCCCACCATTTTAGAACTGATGAAATAACGGCTCACATTCTAATACGGTGGCTAAGGACAGGGTGGCCGTGATTTGGTCGCCATGAGAGGATGCCACTGTTGCTGTTGGTGATAATGACAATGACTGTCGTAGTGATGGTGGTAATACGGTGGTGATGGCAAAGAAAGTGGCAGCCAACATCTATTGCACGCGTACCATGTTCCAGTTTCTTTATTAAGTGTGTTTTCTACTTATCCTCACAATAGCTCAGTAAAGTGGGAACTCTTATAAAACCAATTTTTAAAACAAAGAAACCGAAGCTCAGAAAGATGAAACAGCCCAAGGCCATATATCTATTTCCAAAGCCCAGATTTATATTCAGTTTGTCCGACCCTAAAGATGACACATATAGGAGGAGGATTTAGGTACGGACAGGAATGCAATTTGTTTTTGTTGCTAAAGTGGTTGACCTTAATTCACTCTGTATGTCTGGATTATTTTCCATTATAATTAGATAGTGGACCATTTCAAGGAGTAGTCAACAATATAATGTCAGAATTAGAGATCATTTATACAACTGTATTCAGTTAAGCAATCAAAAAAAACAAAATTCCAAAGAAATTAACTGCTATCCTTGGGATCACAGATAGGTCAGGGCAGAACTGGTATAGATACTCTAGCTTCCTGCCTCCAGACCTGCCATTCTCTACTTTGCTTCCTTCCCTACACAGGCTGCACAGGCCTGGAGGTACCCACTCCCAGATGCACTTGCTCTTGGCCATCAGCCGCAAGCCCAGTACTGACTGCACTGAAGTTCATGCCTAACTGATTCTGTAGGCATTAAACGTTCCCACTTGTATATTCTTCATTGATAACTTGTCATTAGATGCTGTTTCCGTGTTCCCTCAATAGGTTGGTGGTTAGAACATTGTCTATAAGATGTGCAAAAAGCTCAAACTAGTTAGATTTTTGAACACTGGAACTTCAGACATTGATCTAGGTGCTGAGGGTACAAAGATGACCACAGTGGGTGATGGAGACAGAGAACAGATGCGATGGAGTCGGAGTGTGAACCAGTCTCACCCAGCTCTCTGGAAGGACAGACTTTGGCACGAGAATGGCTCTATGTGTCAGCATCTTTTCTCTTTCGCAAATACTGATAAGCAACAAGAAGACAAAGAAGAGGAGGAGAAGGAGAGATGGAAGAAAGGAGGGAGAAGGAAGAGAAGAAAAATATCTCTGTAAATTCCTTTTTCAACAAAGGTAGAGGCAGGTATAATTCATGGTCTCATAATTCATATAAAGGCTATGTGGGGGTTCAGAGGTAGTCACCCCAATATGTGTTTCTGTGGTATGTGGATCGTTATAAGCTAAAGGCAGCTGCAGGCTTGGGAGAAACCTCTGCCCTCCCTTCACCACCTGAGAGAATTTGAATTAGGGACCTTGCCCATCATGGGATATCATCAGGGACAACTTCTTTTGACCTGTCTGCAGGACAGGACAATTTTCTATTTACCAAGCATCTGCTCTTCTCATCCTGCCATGACCCTTTGAAGCCCCCAACTCACCTCACCTTGTCCCTAGCTCAGGAAGCCTCATAGCCCCATGTTCCCTTCCTGCCTCTGAACCTCTCCTGCGTGTGGGGTCCCTGATTCTCACGTGTGCAGGTCCCCATGCGTGTGTATGTATTAAATTTGGTTATTTGCGACTCTTTCTCAGGTCTGTTGGATTATGAGACCAGCTGTGAGAACCTGGAGGGTAGAGGAAAGCTTGTCCCTTCTGTGAGAACAGCTGAGATTGAGCAGGAGGCCCTAGAGCAGGTAAGGAGAAAAACAAGGGAATTGACAAGAGGGCTCCGCAGCCGCAGATTTCAGAGAGTCTCTGCAAAAACACATTTCTCACAGGAAAGAGCGTCTCCCTGGATACAGAAAATAGCACGATTTCCCTGGAAATAATTGGCATGGGGCCTGGACCCGCCGGGTCAGCAGCAGGAAGCTCCCTGGGCCTGGTCTGGCTCGGGAGCCCAGAGGACAGGAGTCGCCCAGGAATCACAGAGCCTTCCCACTTCTGTTGTGATGGGGAAAGCTGGGGAAAGTGCTACTCCACCCTACCCAGAAGAAAAAAGGAAAAACCATCTGGATAACACACAAATTCTGAAGCCCATCAGAAAGCTGTGGGTGCAAGGCCACCACCCAGCCTAAAATTTAAGGAAAGATAATGGTCTCCAAGAAGAGACAGGGTGCCAGCATGGTCTTGCCTGGGGCAGAACATGGGACGAAGACCGGGCCCCAGACAAGGGCGAAAGGCCGAGTGTCGGTGGCAGCATGGTATAGAACTCCCAGCAGCCTCAGGCACAGGGGGCATCTAGACCCAAAGAGGTTCTTGGGTGTTCACGAGAGTCACGTGGGGCTAGCTGGAAGGAAGCCCTGGAGCTCCCTCCCTTGGCACCTGCAGGAAGTGCAAACCAATCAAGCAAGTCTTGACCAGGCACAAGAATGCCCCTCAGCCAAGCCCAAATCCGAACCTTAATAAAAGCCCTCCTGGAACTCTGAAGCCAGCCACCCTGCCATGCTCTCCCCAGAAAGCCTCATTATATAAGTAATCGACCTCTTCATACCTTCTTGGTGCATGTATGGTATCATCAGTCAGTCTATCCATTCTATCTCCATGGGATGACCACAACATCCCATTACATGACGTCAATTCTTAGTGCAATAAACAGATGATGTATCATAACATTGTACACTTGAAATCTGTGTAGTCATGTTAACTAATGTCACCCCAAGAAATTTAATTAAAAAAAACAAAAAATAGAATCTCACTTTAAGTATAAGGACACATCTAGGATAGAATGAAAGGATAGAAAAAGACATATTATGCCAACACTAGTCATATAAAAGCCTGAGCAGTTAAATTATTAGACAAATCAAATCTCAGCAAGGACTATATTCAGGGATGGGAAGAAACGGACATATAGATCATCAGAAGAACAGAGGAAACAGACCCACATATACATCTGTCACAAAATCCCCAGGTTGATTAATTCATCGAAGTAAGAATAGTCCTCTTCAACAGATGATGCTGGAACAATTGAATGACTGCATGAGAAACAATGATCCCCAAACCTTACTTAACAATAATTTATTAAAAATAAGTCAAAGGTCTAAAGGTAAACATTAAGGCCATAAATGTCCTAGATGAAAGACTCAACAAACTAGAGATATGAAAAAAATTTTTAAATAAGACAGAAAAAAACAGAAATCATAAAAGAAAAAATTTAATGCATTGGAGTCCATTAAAATTTAAAATTTCTTAATGACACCAAAATTAAATTCATATAGCTGACATAGAACTTCTATTCAGAATATATCAATTAAAACAATTACAACTCAATAATAAGAAAATAATTGAATAACAATGGGCAACAATACTGAATATAGACACTTCACAAAAGAAGATAAGCATATGGCCAACATGCACATGAAAAGATTATCAACATTGTGTCATAAGGGAAGTGCATAAATTAGAACCGCAATGAGAGGCCAACTTCATGCCCACCAGAATGGGTGTAGTGAGGATAGTGAGGAACACCAGCCACGCCGACCACTGGTGAGGGGACAAGGCAGCTGGAATGCTCATTGGTTGCTGATAAGAGTGGAAAATGGTACGACCATTTTGGCAGCTTCTTATAAATTTCACCATATACTGCACATTATCATAGGACCCAGCAACTTCACTCCTAGGTGTCTACCTAAGAGAAATGAACATTTTGGCAGCTTCTTATAAATTTCACCATACACTGTACATTATCATAGGACCCAGCAACTTCACTCCTAGGTGTCTACCTAAAAGAAATGAAAACACAGATCCACACACAGACTTACGCACACAAATATGCATCATAGCATTATGCATAGTAGCCGAACACTACAAGCAACATAAATGCCCATCGGTGGGTAAACAGATAAACAAAATGTTGTTTATCCATATGATGGAATACTGTCTGTCAACAGGAAGGAATAAACTACTGATATCCCAACAACATTGATGATCTCAGTGCTCAGGCAAAGAAGCTAGGCACAAAAGGGTACATATGATAGGAACGCATTTGAATGAAACCCTGAAATGAAAACTCTACCCTGTAGTGATTGAAGGCAGGTCAGCAACTGCATGAGCTGGGGCTGTATGGGGCGGTTGACAAGGAAACAGAACCAGGGAACCTTGGGGGATGATGAAAATGTTCTGTATGTTGGGCGCGGTGGCGTTTGCACAGGTGTATACATTTATCAAAACTCATCAAGTTCATCCTGGTCTGTGTGGCTCAGTTCGTTGGGCGTTGTCCCGCACACCAAAATATCAAAGATTCCATTCCTGATCAGGGCACTACCTGGGCTGCGGTGTAGTCCCCAGTCAGGGTGTGTGCAGAGGAAACTGATTCTCAGATCAAGGTTTTCTCCCTCCCTTCTCCTCTCTCTGGAATCAATTTTTAAAAAGAAAAAAACGTTTTAATTCCTCAAGTTCTAGGATTAAAATGAGTGCATTGCATTTTATGATCACACTGATTCCACATTATCAAGATGCTCACAAGATGCAATTGACAAAGAATAATATGCCCGATTAGAATAGAGGGTAGAAATATGGGCATCCTTTGTTTCACTTTATTATGGCTTTTGAGTTTTAATTTTTATTTCACTAATGAGTTTCTAAATTCTCTTTCCTAAGTGCAGGTTGCTACACTATTTGCTGAGAAAGAAAAAAGTAACACATGAATTGAGTAAATTATTGTTTTTATTTTACTTGTGTATTATAATCTGCCAAGATATTAGAACTAGAGGGACTCCCAAAATCACTACTCCATAGCCTTTTCTGAGGAGGCTATTTCTTTCATTAGTGCATGAAATTACAAGTCATTAATTTACTTTCAGAAGAAATCAATAGCATATTATTAATGAGCCTTGATTTAACTCACTTTATACATAACACAAATAAAAGGACATTTCACTTTTGAAAAAACATTATAATTTTGAAAAAACATTATAAACACACACACAGTGCAATCACTAAGGCATCAATTTTGATGGTAATATTGGAATGCAAGCAAGAAAAGCAAAATTTTTTTTAAAGAATGGGCTAGTTCCGTAGTCATATTAATAGTCCAGCACTGGTTTCCTGCCAAGCCGATGACCGGCCTAAGGAGAGGAAAATCTGCCGAAGAAGAGGATGCTGTTGGACTCATTGTGCCTGACGAAGAACAGGAATGGGTGATTGCAGTGGACAGTTTCATAGTCGGGCTCTAGTGTGACCCTAAAGCCAATGCTGGTGGCCGCAGTGGCCTCGGTACCTTCCTCAGTCACCACCACAAAGGACCTGTGCAGGAACTTCCGGGCACTCAGCGTTGAGTGTGGGGACATTCCCGAATAGTCGGCCTTGGGCTCGCTGAAGGCCTCCTCCAGCCCCAAGGCGGCCAGCGGCGCCTGCAGGTCGTAGCTGTCTGCCACTTCAAATCGGGGCAGGCGCAGGTCCACGCGCCTCTCCTCCATCTGCCCTGGCCCCGTCCACTCTTTTAAGTCCTCGGGACTTATTTTATCTATAATCTAGTAAGAAAAGGGGCGGGGGCAGAGGGAGGAGAGAATGGCATGATGATCGATAAAAGTTTGAAACAGTGTAACACGAATTTGCATCAGTCAGAAATCATTAATTTTAGTAACAAAAGTAGAAAGTTCATTTCACTAGACTGTTGTCTTTCTATAGCAAGTACTTGTCTTATATTTCTCTATTTATATTATCTGTGCATATGGGAAAAGTCAATAGCATTTAGTGAATTTTTAAAGATGAAAAATATAATTTCTACTACATATTATTTCATAGTTTACTATTTTCCCAATGTCTTTGTATGCCTATATATTGTACAATTTCTCTAGATAATGAAATATGTTTATATAAATATATAATAAAATTATAATTAATGTAATATATTATTGTTAATATCTAATTTGTATTATAACATATCAAACATTAATATATTTACATATAAAATACATATTTATAGTTGCAATCACAGTGAATGTCCATTTTCTTATTATAATGTAAACCTTTTACACTACTGCGTCTCACTTCAAAATACCTTCAAGCTGATAGATATTTTCATCAAATTGATCAGTTTTACCCAACATTAACCCATTCTTTTACAAGTACCTAGTATGTATCATGCATTATGATAGAGGATAGATTCTGTAGATACAAAAATAATCATTGTGTTCCGTTTCAAACTACATATCCTAGTATATTTAATGCAGAAACTACTAATTTGGCTCAGACAGGCAATTTTTTTGTTCTGAATTATTTCCCTGGAATAATTTCCACAACTGCAGTTTTTGAGTCAGAGGAGGAATACTCTTAAAGCTTTCCTACAAACTGTCACTTTGCTGTCCTCAAGTACTTTCCAGTGTATTGTGAAGGCTATTAGCTAGTTTCACAGCAACAGACCAGCATCCAGTATTATAATAATATACGTGATAGGTGCTGTGTTATTATGATACTGATGTTGTCTCTGTGCATGTTATAGAGATAGAGACAGAGTGTGGTCTCTAATCATTATAATAACATGCTACACATTAAACTACAAAGCCCATTTTATAGATGGGAAAATATTGAGGTTCAAGGAAGTTAAATGGCTTCAAAGGACATAATGCTACTAAATATTTTAACAGAAAAGTGGGTAGGACTAAATCAAGGGGTTCAAGATTAAGGGTCTCATGGACTTTGGTTGATTACTGTGTATCGATGTAGGTTCATCCTTGGTTTTTTAAAATATATATACTATCTTTTTCTGATAGAGATGTTGATTATGTGGGAGGAGAGGAGGTATGAGGGAAACCTCTGGACCTTCCTCTCAATTTTGTGGTAAACCTAAAACTTTTAAAAATTGAAGGTTGAAAAAATTTCAGAAAGTCTCAATAGCATGCAAAATTTGCTGGATATATGCACATGTGATCTTTTTTTTTTCTGGGGGAAAAAAGGTGCCTAGAAAATCAACCATTTATCAGAATGCTGGGTGGTCTTTACAATCCCCATATGACCTTAAAGGTTCATTTTAGCTCATTCCCAAATATTTTAGTGCCGGTTGTTCCCAGTACACCTGATGTCATTGTTGGCTCCTCTTCAGACATCCTGCGCAGCGTCAGAAATATTCTACCAGGGCTCTGCCAGACACCTGCCCCGACTCAGAAGCCCCCTTTGCAGGCTCACTCAGAACAAGCTCTGAGACGCAAAGCCTCCAAAAGCGGCAGTAAGAATGGGCAGGAGCGAGGCTTTACCTTCTCCAGGCCGTCGACGTCATTGGGCAGCAACACGAACATGCTTAGTTCATTGTTTTTATACGGAATGCCCAGAATCTTGGCCTGCAGGTCCTTCAGGAAAGTGAAGCTAAAGGTGTGGCGCTGGGTCATCATCAGCACAGGCTTACTCGTGTTCTGCAACAAGTTAATAGAGCGCTGAAGGTCAAACTGGGCATAAGACAGCCAGGCAAGCTCATCAAAACCATGAATTCAATCTAAACCGTGATACCGCTCAGAACCCCCGACTCAGCATTTGCGGTACGCCCTGTGCCGCGACGCAAGCACGGCATCAGGACTTACATGCCATGTACAAGCATGTCCCATGTATATAGGGCTGTACCTTATCCAGCCAAAATTCCTCCTCCTTGGTCTGTTCTTTCTTAAACTCCCTGTCCCATTGCCCTTTAAAATACACGACGTTCACCACCACCAACTTGATGGAGCTGTTCAGAGAAGCATTTGGAAACAGGTCCTTGATTTTTTCTGCAAACAAACAACAACAACAACAATCAGTCTGGCCTATCTTGGAAATTATAAGTGATAGGCAGGGCAGGCACGACGTGGGTGCACTTGACTGGTCATTAAAGCCTCAGCCAGCTCATCACCAGCAGGCTCCACCCACAGAGGCTTCGGGGGATGTCCTCACTGCTCACTGCCCACGTATCCCACTGGATGGACTGAGGTGCGACGGTTCAAGAGCTCAGGCTATGGGACCGAACTGCCTCTGTGAGCGTCCAGTCATAGGTCTTATCAGCCAAGGAACCTTTGGCAAGCTACTTAAGCTCTTCATGCCTCAATTTACCCTTTGGTGGAACAGGAATGACACTGGCCTATCAGGTTGTTGAAAGGAGTAAATGATCTCTTATGTGAACAGCACTTAGATCGCCGTCGGGCTCACAGTAAGCACTTGGTAAAGGTTAGCTCTTATCATTTCTACCCACTTGATAGAGTTACCATCTGAGATTTAGAGGTTCTTATTTTACTGGAAAAGGAGCTGATGTTTTTGTCTCTGGCATCAACCCAGCACACACTAAATTCTAAAGAATACTGCCTTAAACTGACTTTTTGATAGACCTTTTTCTCCCCTGCTTTTTTTTTCTTTTTATTTCCCTCCAACTGACTATGAAGAAAAATGTATTCTGAAATAAAAGATGTCTTCCCGGATAACTGGAATAAAAAATGTAATCTAAAACTCTAACACTAAAGTATCAGCTATCACCCTCCCCCAAAGTATATTTGGTATTACCTTTCCTCTCTGGCGTTTCTTGTGTGTTTGGCTCATACTAGGTAGGGAACAGGGAGAGGAGGATGAAGGGAGGGCTTTATCAAGTTCTCTGCAGTGGATGGGGCTGAAAGTTATCATTCCCACGTGTTGCTCTAACAGAGATGAGAGCTAGGCAACCCCAGCTCAAGGTAACAAAAGTAGGTCTTGATGAGAGAGCTGAATGTTTCTCACTTGATAAAAAGAAAGGAAACCCTCTACATTTCCACTTAAGGACCGAGACTCAGAAAGAAAAACTCTAATATAAAGAAAAGGATGTGAATCCAAGAAAGACATGAGCCCAGTTTTCGGGGCCTCAAGATATTGTGATCCACAACCATGTGTAAATAATTCTCCACCAAGTGTTTCCATGTGCTAGGGTCCCCTCTCCATTTCTCTCCTCTATTCACAGTGCCTCCTCCCACTCCTCTGGCCCAGGCTGCCTTTCCAACCCTGAGAAACCCCTCTCAAGTCCCCGCCCAGAGCTCGTCCACCCTGACGCCCCACGCAGCGCCAAGCACAGGCTTCACTCACAGCGGGCGCTCAGGAAGCGTTTTTATGATGAACGACCCATCCATACTCTACCATGTGTTTGGCTTTCAACCCAGGAATTAATCTTCTTTCGACTTTCATCTGCTGCATTTACAAAATCAACAGGTTCCAGAGAGGCATGGTAATATTTTTCAACATAATCTAAGTATTTCTTTAGGAGAAACAGGAAAGGAATAGAAAGAGGTTGAGTTTCAATTTATCCATTGCCAACATCTCTAAATATGTTTAGCAGTACATCAAGATCACTAGCACAGTAAGCAGGGATTTTGAGGATCTGGGCAAATCATTTTGAGTACTTCCATGCACGTGTTGATGCAGGTGCAGTAGGGTTAAAGCAAAAATCAGATTTCAACTGCCGAGATTAAAAAGGACTCTCAAAGGGCCTGGATGTCTGAGAAACAGGCACTGGGGACCCCAAGGGATCCAGGCCAAGGCAGGCAGTCAACACAGGCAACATGCCTCCAAGACCCACGAATACCACTCACCGAGGTGGTGGGCATGGCAAAACTTACTTGAAGGAAAAGGTATGTCTTTTCTCCAAATAACCTGTTGGCTATTTTCAGTTCATGATTATTAGTGAGTTTGCTTATTTCACTCAGAAACATTTGGAATTGGTGGTGTATCTCTTCTGTCTTCTCAATCTTCAAAATCAAAACAAAAACTCAGTGAGTTATCTTAGCAAAAGCAAGTCTAGATTCTGCCCCAAGAGGACATGGCTGCTGGGTCTTTCCCTCATCTTGGCAGCCTTAGGGATGGCCCATGAATTTTGTGTGGCCCCTGATGTCAGGTGGCTTTGACACAAATCAGATGATAATGTAAGTCACAAGCAATTTCAGCTCCACAAAGAAGCCTGCTCCTCCACCCAACACTACAGATCTCGCTTTTCTAGCTCAGGTTGCATTTTTCATCTCAAATGTAATTACTCACTAAATGTTTCATATGTTTCCTGTTTGCTTTTCACAATACTAAGCACCTAAGCAAAGTAGATGGTTCCTTAGATGACTCTTATCCACTTTAAGGTTGGCAATATCTATTTCAGACAGTGGATTTAAAAAAACTGACTGAACCCTGGCTGGTGTGGCTCAGTGGATTGAGTGCCGGCCTGTGAACCAAACAGTCACTGGTTCAATTCCCAGTCAGTAAACATGCCTGGGTTGCAGGCCAGGTCCCCAGTTAGGGGCACACCAGAGGCAACCACACATTGATGTTGCTCTCCCTCTTTTTCTCCTTCCCTTCCCCTCTCTCTAAAAATAAATAAATAAAGTCTTAAAAAAAAAGTGACTGGGACAACTGTAGTAGCATAATCAATAAAATAAAAAAAATTAAAAAGCCACTCCAGAATCTGTAGTCCCACAGACAGACACCAGGGAGAGCTCCTGATAGAAACCACAAACTTCTTCAAGTAGATTACACACACATACATATGCCCAGAGAGAATGCATCCCCAGAAAAGTCTTGAGACATCTACAAAATCTCTAGTCAGCCTGACTTCAAAAAGTATTTCCTGTATGGCTGACTTTCCAAATGCCAGGTCCCAACAGAGCATAACAAGCATGCAAAGAAATGAGGAAACATGACTCAATCAAAGGAACAAATTAAATCAACAACTTAATTGTACATCTCAAGGGACTAGGAAAAGAACAAACTAAATCAAAAAGGTTACAGTTAGAGCAAAAATAAACAAAATAGAAAGTAGAAAAACAGCAGAAGAAATCAACAAAAGTAAGAGACTTTTTTTTTAAGATCAACAAAATTGACAATCCCTTAACTAGACTAAGAAAAAATAGAAGACTCAAATAACTAAAATTAGAAATGAAAGAGAAGACATTACAATAAATATCATGGAAATAAAAAAGGGCTACAAGGGACTACTATAAACAAGTATATATGCCAAAGCAATAAGTATCTTGAAAGAAATAGATATGTTTTTAGAAATATATAACTGACCGAGACTGAATGATGAAGAAATGTGAACAGACATAACTAGTAAAAAGACTGAATCCATAATCAAAGATCTCTAATTAAAAAAAGCCCAGAACCAGATAGCTTCGTCAGAGAATTTTACCAAATACTTAAAGTCTTCCAAAGACAAGAAGAGGAGGGATCACTGCCAAACTGATTCCATGTGACCAGCATAACCATAACACCAAAATCAGAAGAGACATTAAAAAAACGAGACTTAAAAAGCAACATGACATAAGAGAAGAAAACTAGGTACCAATAACCCCGATGAATATTAATTCAAAAATCTTCAGCAAAATACTAGCAAACCAAATTTAACAGCACATTAAAAGGATTATACATCATAACCAGGTAGGATTTATACCTGGAATGCAAGGATGGTTTAACATATGGAACTCAATCAATATAATACAACATATTAACATTAAAAAACAAAACCCGCATGATCGTTTCAATTGATGTAGATAAAGCATTTGAAAAAATTCAACACCTTTTCATGATAAAAACACCCAACAAACTAGAAATAGAAGAAATCGACCTCAACATAATAAAATTCTCATATGTAAAGCCCACAGACAATATCACACTCAAAGGTGAAAGGAAAGCTTTTCTTCCAAGATCAGACAGAGATGTCCACTCTCACCACTACTATCTGACATATTCAACATAGCACTGGAAGTCGTACCCATAGAAACTAGAGAAGAAAATAAAATAAAAAAGCCCTCGCTGGTGTGGCTCAGTGGATTGGGTGCCAAACTGCAAAGCAAAGGGTCGCCAGTTTGATTCCCAGTCAAGGTACATGCCTGGGTTGTGGGTCAGGTCCCCAGCTGGGGATGCAAGAGAGGCAACCATGCATTGGTGTTTCTCTCCCTCTCTTTCTCCCTCCCTTCCCCTCTCTCTAAAAATTAATAAAATATTTAATAAAAAAATAAAAGAAACAAATAAAATAAATGTAACTTCTGGTAAAGATGGCAATGAAAGCAGACTTGGCTCACCTCTTTGCACAACTACATCAAAATTACAAATAAATATGGAAAAACCATCAGTCAGAACTGTTAGAAATTGAGTTGAGTGGAAGTCTGACAACTACAGAATTAAAGAAACCACATCCATCCAGACTGGTAGGAGGGGTGCACACACAGAGTAGGCTGGCTCCTAACCCACATGTGGTGGATAAAAACTAGGGAGGGATACCTTGGGAGTAAGGAGTCCCAGCCCCACACCAGGCCCCCCAGCCCAGGGTTCCAGGTTTGCAGCCCTTCCAGTGCCAGGAAGATAAGTCCCCACAACTTCTGGCTGCTAAAACCAGCGGGGATTGAGTTGGTGGAAGAACCCCAAGCACTTCCTCTAAATACTCACCTACTCACACTCACTCCCTCTGAGCTCCAGCACTGGGGTAGCAGTTTGAAAGGCAACAGTGGTATAGAGGGAAAAACTGAAGTGTCTGGCATCAAGGCGAGCAGAGACTATTGTCCCTTTTCTAAACTCTCCCCCTCACAGAAGCATCAAGCTCGTGCCATATCTAAGACTCCATCAACCTGGCTAATGCCATTTGACCAGCTTTGGAGATCCCCAGAGACTCTGCCCCACCCTACTTATGGGCCCACCCAAGCTGTTTTTCCATATGAATGGCTAGTCTTGGCTCATGCTTCACAACTTCCTAAATCCCCTCAAATAAGTAACAGCTGGCTTCAGTGAGTCTCAGGGCTGGCACTAGCAGTAACCATCCTAGATGCACAGCTTGGCTTCACCTAGGAATCACCAAGCCCAGCACAAGTAGCAGCCATCTGAGATCACTTTATAGTTTAGGCAAGGTGGCCCCGGGCAAAACGCAGGTGGGACTGACCTCGGTCTGCAATACCTGGAAACCCCTGGGCCAGTACACCCAGTGGACAGCTACAGACCACATCAGAGTATCACCACTCTGCCCCTGCACAGTTGGGGCCCATGGAGCGCAGAGGTTGGTGGTAAGTGGTCACAGCCAATCCTTGCAGCTGACCAGCCTGGGTAAATCCCTCTCACTGACCTGCCAACAGCAACCATGGCTCAACTACAGGAGCGTATACTCAGGCCACCTTGTGTGCCCAGATTGGGTGATACGGGAGGCTGTTCCACTGGACCTTATAAAACACCTAGTGCATTAGGCCACACTACCAAGACACAGAGTCAAAGCAGCTCTACCTAATACATAGAAAAATACACAAGGAGGCTGCCAAAATGAGTAGACAAAGAAACCTGGCCCAAATGAAAGAACAGATCAAAACTCCAGAAAAAGAGCTAAACAAAATGGAGATAAGCAATCTATCAGATGCAGATATCAAAACACTAGTTACAAGGATGATCAGGAACTTAGTGAGGACCTCAACAGCATAAAAAAGATACAGTCAGAAACAAAGGATTCACTAATTGAAATAAAGAACAATTTACAGGGAAACAACAGTAGAGTGGATGAAGCTGAGAATCAAATCAATGATTTGGAACATAAGGAAGAAAAAAACAACCAATCAGAGCAACAAGAAGAAAAAAGAATCCAAAAAAATGAAGATAGTGTATGCAGCTCTGGGACAACTTGCAGCATCCAATAGTCATGTCATAGGGGTACCAGGAGAAGAGAAAGAGCAAGAAATTGGAAGTCTATTTGAAAAAACAATGAAAGAAAACCTCCCTACTTTGGTTAAGGAAATAGACATGCAAGTCCAGGAAGCACAGAGTCCCAAACAAAATGGATGCAAAGAAGCCCACTCCAAGACACATCATAATTAAAATGCCAAAGGTTAAAGATAAAAAGAGAATCTTAAAAGCAGCAAAAGACATTACTTATATACAGAGGAGTTCCCATAAGACTATCAGCTGATTTCTCTAATGAGACTTTGCAGGCTAGATGGGATTGGCAAGAAATATTCAAAGTCATGAAAAGTAGGGACCTACAGCCAAGATTGCTCTATCCAGCAAAGACCTCATTTAGAATCAAAGGGCAGATCAAGAGCTTCCCAGACAAGAAAAAACTAAAGGAGTTCATCATCACCAAACCATTATCATATGAAATGTTAAAGGGACTTATTTAAGAAAAAGAAGATCAAATTTGAATCTATAAAAACAAACCAAGAAAACGGGAAGAGCAGAGACAGAATCATGAATACAGAGAGCATTTTGATGGTTGTCAGATGGGAGGGGGAGTATGGCGGAAATGGGTGAAAAGGTGAGGGGATTAAGAAGTGCAAATAGGTAGTTACAGAATAGCCATGGGGATGTGAAGGATAGTATAAGAAATGGAGTAGCCAAAGAATTTGCACATGTGACCCATGGACATGAACAATAGTGGGGGGATTGCCTGAGTGGGTAGGGTTGCTGGGTGGAGGGGGCAAAGGAGGAAAATCAGGACAACTGTAATAGTATAATCAATAAAATATAATTTAAAAAAGAGAAATGCAAATCAAAAATAAAAGAAGTAAAATTATGTCTATTCACAGATGACCTGATCTTATATGTAAAAAACCTTAAACATTCCACAAAAATATGTTACAACTAATAAATTAATACAATAAAGTTGCAGAATACAAAATCTACATTCAAAATTAGTTACATCTCTATACATTAACAATGACAACCCAAAAAGTAATTAAGAAAATAATCCCATTTACTAAAGTATCAAAAAAGATAAAATACTTAAATATAACTTAACTAAGGAGGTGAAAGATTTGTACACTGAAAACTATAAAAAGTTGCTTTAAAAAATTAAAGATACAAGTAAATGGAAAGATATCCCATACTAATGATTGGAGGATGTAATATAGTTAAAATATTTATACTACCCACAATGATGTATAGACTCAATGAAATCCATATCAAAGTCCCAATGACTTTTTTTTTTAAATAGGGAAAAAAATCTTAAAATTCTTATGAAACCTCTAGGGACCCCAAGAAGCCAGAGCAATCTGGAAAATAGTTGAACAAAGTTGGAGACCTCGCATTTCCTGATTTCAAAACATGCTACAAAGCATTAGTAAGCAAAATGATGTGGTACTGGCATAAAGAAAACTATATGAACTGATGGAAATAACAGATAACCCAGAAATAAACTTTTGCTTAAATGACCAAGTAATTTTCAGCAAGGGTGCCAAGACTACACAATAAGGAAAAGACATTCGACAAAATGTGCTTGGAAAATTGAATGTCCACATGCAAAACAATGAAGCTGGACCTTTACCTTACACCATATACAGAAAAAAAATACTCAAAATAGGTTAAAGACCAAAAATAAGACCTATAACTATAAAACTATTAGAAGAAGACACAAAGGAAGAACTTTAGGAGACTGGATTTGGTAATGATTTCTTGAGTATGACATCAAAAGCACAGGCAACAAAAGCAAAAATAGACAAATGGAGTTACAGCAAACTAAAAATCTGTTCATCAAAGGATCCAATGAACGGAGTGAAAAGGCAACCTGCATAAAGAAAGAAAATACTAGCATATCATAAATTTGATAAGGGGTTAATATCCAGAATATACGAGGAACTTCTACCACTCAACAACAATAAATATAACCCAATGAAAAAAATGGACAAAAACCTTGAGGAGACAGTACTCCAAAGAAAACATACAAATGGCCAACAACATATGAAAAGATGTCCAACATCACTAATCATAAGCATACAAATCTCAAAACCACAATGAGATATCACCTCACATCCTTTAGGATAGCCACTATCAAAAGAACAAGAAATAACAAGTGTTTAGTGAGATTGTAAAGAAGTTAGAACCCTTGCACATTGTTAGTGTGCATTTAAAACAATGCAGGTGTTACAGAAAACAGTATGGAGGTTTCTCAAAATTTAAAAATAGAATTAACATATGGTCCAGCAATCACACTTCTGGAAACATATCCAAAAGAATTCAAAACAACATCTCAAAGGGATATTTGCACATCTATGTTCATTGCAGTATTATTCACAACAACCATGTGCTGGAAGCAACACAAATGATCATCAACAAATGAACGGATAAAGAAAATGTGGCATATACATGCAAAGGAATATTATGCAGCCTTTGAAAAGAAGGAAATGTGGTTAAATGTGTTAACATGGATGAATCTCAATAACATTATGGTAAACAAAATAAGCCAGTCATACACACACACACAAAACAAATAGTGTAAGCTTCCACTCATGAAGTATCTAATGCAGCCATAATTATAGAAACAGAAATTATCAATCAATCACCAGGCCCAGGCAATTTTACACCCAAATTCTGAACAGAATATTATGTGTGTTTCTGAATTTATACAAACTCTTACAAACTTAAAAAGAGAAAACATTCCCCACCTTGGTCTAGTGATACCTTGATAACAACACTAGAAAAGGATAGGAGAAAGCACAATATTACAGATTAATCATGTTTATAACATAAATTTTTAAAAACCACCTAACAAAATATAACCAAATCCATTTCAATAATGTATTTTTTTAAAATCATGACCAAGTTGATTATCCCGCGAATGCGAACATGACTTAACATTAGAAACTCTTACTGTAATTCACTCTGTTAACAGAGGAAAAAAACATCAGTCACCAACAGATACAGAAAAATATATATGTATGTAAATCATCTTAAAAGGATGGATGGTTGAAAATGGATGGCCGGGGACTGTGAGGCCAGTGGGATCTCCGTTCCCCCTGCCTCTGTACAACTGCATGAAATGGGCCTGTATCCACTGCTGAGAGGAGAAGATGTTGGCATCATCCTTTCAGCAAACATTGGTTGATATTTGATAAAGTGGAACATGCCTATACCCTACCTCCCAGATATATACTATAGGCCAGCGCTGTCTCATAGAAATGAAATGCGGTCACAAGTGTGAACCACACTTACTACCTTAAAATTTCCAGTATCTATGTTCTGTTTTTTTCTAATTCATACAAAGATCCTACTTGGGAAGGGAAGTGCTCTCCAACAACTGTGCTCCTTGACCGAGTGGAGAGCTGAGCAGCTATCTGACCCACCTCTGTTGTGCAAAACCTGGAAGGAAGCCTGACTGTCCACGTGTGCACCTGAGGGCCCCGGACTGCCTGGCCGTGTGGGATGGTGGAATGAACAGCCCGTGTGGCCCCGTGACCTGACCCCCGGCTTTAGGAGGGTCTGGGACTGGGCCATGACAACTGTCAGGCCCTCCCAGTGAGCTCTAACGATCTCCAAATGCCAGCCCCCATCTATGAACATTATCTCTCTCCCATGTGTGCACACTCTGTCCTTTCAGTGACAAACGTTACAACTCTAGAACTGGAAGAGCCCCCAGGAAGTCATTAGTCCTGTGCTAATATATTTTTTTAATAAAACATCAGAGCAGTGGGTGAGGGGCTTAAAATAAAAATACAATGTAGTAACAATATTACCTACTATCACTGTGACCACCCCTGGTAAGTCACCAGTGTGCTCCAGACATTCTGCTGGACACTTTCCAAAGGCCCAACGAAGAGGAATAACTTACCCAAAGCAGCACAACTGTTAACTCACTGGGCCAGGATTTGAACCCCCAATCTGTTTAACTCCAAACCCACCCACTCTGCTGTAGGGACTTTTCAGTCTATTAGCCTTTACCAGTATCTACCCTCGCAGTCAATATGCACGGACATTAAGGTCTCTTCTTAAGACTCGGGGATGATTATCATTGTACAACCCTAGGAACGTTATTTCACTGGTGTGATTATTACTACGGAAAAATAACTATTACCTCTTCCACACATTTCCCCAGTGAGCCCATATCTACAAAGCAACCTTAGTGAAGGCGGTCAAACATGTCTCGCACCTCTTTTTCTTCAGCTTTGACTCTTAAGCTTTCTGTGTCCTGTTCAGAGAAAAGCACCTGGAAGGGACAGAAAATATCATGACAGGGCAGGAGCAGAGAAAACCTCGCACAGAATCAGGGGAAGTGGACATTTGCTAAAGACACTTCGGCACACACAGGTAACATCTGTCTCCTTGCAAAATCATACTGGTTGTCTTCAGAGGAACCCAGTTGGTTCGTCCACGCATGTATTCATCTTTGATGTGTCATTTATACCCTCCTGGGGATTAGGCAACTTGTCCCAGCAGGTATGGTTCTTGACGCTCTGTCTTTAATTATGAGGTTAATGGCCGTGGACAGGGCCACCCACCCAGCCCCCACCCAAAGGAATCTCAAGCACCAGGGAGCACAGGGCACGGTGGACTTTGGAGTGGGAAGAGGGCTTTGCTGACAGACGCGAAACTGCTCCACGGTCACGGGCTTGCGCTGTTCCCTAACCCACTGGTCAGGATGAGCATATTGGTGAGGTCATTCGAGAAGGCCCACCCCAGAAAAGAGGCTGTGCCCGAAGAGCTGCGCAGCCCGCCCTACCCACCTTCCGCAGCTGGGCCGCGGTGGCTCCGCGGGCCCCCAGGAGGAGCATGCCGATGGCGGTGGAGATGCTCGCGGGGGAAAAGAAGACGTTCCCATTGTTTTCTTTGTTCAGCAATTTGAAAAGATCAAGCCCAAAGTGAGCGGTCATGTCGCCTAGCCACTCCATCGCGACTCCAGCGAGATCTAGAACAGCAGCCGCAACCGAAGCGCATACAAAGTAATGCTGAATGTGAACTGCAGTTGAAAGATACACTTTAAAAAGAAAAAGAAAGAAGAAAAACTGAAAGAGCACTCTTCACCTGTCTGAATTGCTTTGCTTTGGGTCCGGGGACCCTCCCCGCTTCTGTCACTCTTCCTGCCCTGGGCGAGAAGAGGGGGGTTTCGGAATATTTCAAGGAACCAATTAGATTCAGACGCTGAGCTCGACCTGGATGTGAGCAGCAGAATCCTCGCAGGGCGTTGCAGACGGCACCTCCGCCGACCACGAGAATGGCCACGAGCCCTTCGGGAGGCCTGGCTGTGTTTATGGCGTTGATCACCGACAGTGGTGATTTCAGGGGCGCACAGCTACCTCCAGACTCACTGAGTTGTGTACATTAAATAGGTGAGCTTTGTGCATATCAGTTATACCTCAGTAAAGTGGGGTTTTTTGCGGGGGGCGCTTTCCACCCTCTGGGTGCAAGGTCCCTGCCGCCTGCTTCTCGCCCCTTCACTTGGCCTCCTTGTGGCCGTGGCCGTGGCCGTGGCCGGAGCCGAGCATCAGCCTGGCACTACCCAGCGCTTCTCAGCTCTCCTGTCTGCAGGGGGCGATGTCACTGCCTCCTGCGGTTTGCAGCTCTGGTTCGCCGTCGGGACCTGCCTACACCTGCCTGCACCTGCCTGCCACTGCACCCCACCCCCTCGGGAGGCAGGTTCCCCAGGCAGGCGCAGCCCTTGCCCTACACTGCGGCTTGTCCAGACGCTGGACCTGCTGCCCGGCAAGAGGAAGGCGGAGGGAGCCCTAGGAGCTCAGGTCCACGCAGCTGCTGCGGCGCAGCCTGAGCAGTAACCCAGCCAAGAGCGCCTGCTTCTCTGATGTTTCAACGGATTCAAAATCCTCTGCAGAGAGCGGGAGGATACAGTAATTCTCTGAGACCCCACCCCCGGCTGCATGAACGCTGGACTCGGGGCCGGTTTTTTCTCAGCGGCCATAGTGCATCTTTAGCCACGGATTATTTAAATAGAAGGAAAGCGTTTCCTTTTTTTATAATTTTCTCTATTATTTCAAGTTTGTATGGTGAGTTCATATTTTTTGTTATCAAAAAATTTTAAACAGTTCATATTTACCAATAAACAAAATACATTTTCTATTGTCTTCAACTCTAGCTAGATATGTTATAAGTAGTTAATAAAGGCTTTAAGAAAAAAATTTAAAACAAGAATGAGGTTAAGGGAGGATAGATTTTTGTGACTGCCTGCACACTCTAGGGGTCTTTGCGACCAAGAGCCAACGACTCCTAAGGTATCCAACACCTGCCATAAAAATTCCATTTCACTCCGGGTTTCCTGGCATGGGTTCCTTGCTGTTTAACCCAGAAATACAATGAATTAACTTACTGGCAAAAAGCATGAAGAAGATACAGTATTATGGCAGCGTAGACACTGAAATAAATAAAACCCTCCCAAGGGAAGTTACGCACAACATAAGTTCTTTCATATCAACAAACATTCTCAAAACAGAAAGAGCCTTCAGTTGCACCTGAAGAAGGAACGCACCTGGGTTCTGGAGAGACGGAAGGAGCTGAGCGCGGACCTAGGAAGCACGTGTAAAATGAATGATTGAGTTCTTTAATTTATCTCCGTCTCTCTGCCTCTCCCTAGTCATTAACATTTTTGCATTTCCAGTGAAACAACCTTCGGTTTCTCAATGACCATTTCCCTCCTAAATCCCTCATGCAAAATTTATGACAAAATTAAGGATGGAATTTCCTCTTTCCTTGATGCCTGTCCACGAAGCTATGCCCTCGAAGGTGTCAGCAATTTTACTGGGCACTGTAGCTCAAATAATACACACATTAGACAGAGAGGCAGAGAGTTGCAATCTCTAAATTCTCCAAAAATCCCTTACAAATTCTTTTGGGGATCCAAGTATAAAGAAACCTACATTCACCAGAAAACAAAATAAGTCTAAAAGCAGGAGCTCAAGGCAGGACCGCAGCAGTCTGAGAATGGCCAAGTAACAGTACTTTGCCGTATTTAGTGCACACTTTTTTGGCCAAATTTTTGAAGGAAAAATAAGAATGCACATTATACGTGGGTAGTACTAATTCTGTATCTATATAAATGTTTTTAATTTTTTATTTATGTTTATGTGTTAAAAGCATAACCCTGGAAAGCAATAATGATATCTATATGCAAAATAATATTCTGGAATTCAATAATTGATTTTGTTTCTACATGTAAATAAATTTTAAAATGAATTAAAAAATTAAAACAGGAGATTTTGTTTCCTGATAGTTTGAGCCAAAAATGTGGGTGTGTGTTATACTCAGCAAAATACGGTAAGTACATCATGATCCCGGTTCAGGGAAGACCTTGAGAGGTCCTTCAACCATAATGATATTGGGGATCCTCTGAGAAGAATTGGTTCTCCACCTTGGGTGCACATTAAAATCTGGGGAACTTAAAAAAAGAAAGGAAAAAAAACAATGCCCAAGCCCCCTCCCCTGCTCCTGAGTCACTGAGTCAGAGTCTCTAGAGTGGAAATTTTTAGCAGCTCAGGTGATATGTGCAGCCAAGGTTTGAAACCACTGGTTCATGGCCACATGAAGCTCTCAGTTAATGCATACTTACTTACCACGATGTACAGAACTCTGCCTGGACAAGCCCGGGCTCAGTAATTACATTAACTTTGCACTGGCATTATGTGGATGCCAAGTGCAAAAAAGAAAATGAAAGGAAGCTGTCTTGCTAGAAAAATGGTGAGAAAATGTCATGAGGAAAGTCTGAGCAGGCAGACACACACACACACACACACACACACACACACACACACACACACACCCCAGCTCTGGTTCTCAGGTATTCTGCTCATTAATTATGAAATCTCCCACTTTAATTCATTCAGTAAACATTTATTGAGAGTCTGCTATGTGCCAGACATGGGGCTAAGCGTCATTAATTTATAAACACCCAACAAGCTCATTGATTTCAGGAAAACAACACTACTAAAAAAACCTCAACAGGAAATTCCACCTCCCAGTTCTAGTTTTTCCTGCCAACCCTCAGGCACCCCTCAGGCTCTGCTAGCTCATTAAAAGAGGCAGCAGTTGGGCAGGGTGTAGAGATCTGTCTTTGCCACCGAGCACCAAATCCTAGAAGGACACCTCTGCTCTTCCCTCTGAATATCTGCCTAAGGAAGCAGCTCAGCTCAGCGATGCAGCTTCCAGGGGCTAACTAATGTCTGTACCAATCCCAATTCACACAGTTTGCTTTAAAAAAAATGAAAAAGTATTTTAATTACAGCTCTTTAAGCAAACTCACAGCAGTGTTAATTGCCTCTGCTTTCTAATTGTCACTGAGAAATATACAAACAGAGGAAGGTTTAGAAAGAATTAGCAGTCAGTTATGGAGTTAAACCTGGATGCTAATGAAATAAAAAAAAAAAAAATCAAACAAAAACTCCCAGACAACAGGATGGCCGTCACCAGAGAAAAAGGAGGGTGAGTGTAGTAAAGAGTAAAAGGGTCAAACATATGGTGGCGGAAGAAGATTTGACTTTGGGTGGTGGGCACACAACGCAATATGCAGAGTAGGTATTAATAGAAATGTACTCTTGAAACCTATGTAATTGTTTAAATCTATGTCTCCCAATAAATAAGTTGTTTTAAAAAGAAAAAGAGATGGCATGAAATATTTGAGTTGGCAATAATGCTCTATGTTTTAATATCCCAATCAGTTTGTCCTCTAATTCCATTCTCCAGAACCCTAGACTCCCCGTTCCATCACCCAGTCATTTCCGTATGCCCTCAACTTCTGTCTAAGGCATTTCCTCTACCACCGGGCTTTCACAATGATGCCTGAGACCGCCACGTCCCACAGTCTGCACTGGGGACAGCCACTCAGATCTTGAGATCAGGAAGCAAGGTGCCCACTTGAAGTCTCTCTCCTGCTCTTGTTTCTTCCCAGCCGTCTTCCTTCAATCACTCCCAACGTCCCCTTTTCAATTTACAACATCTTGCTGTGCCACCCTTTCCCCCGACCACAGTCTGCCACCCCGTGCGTGGCTCATGGTCTTCCTGTTGCCTTAAACACAACCGCCCCTCTGGACACCTTCACAGCCCAGGTCAGTAGCATCGCCCCCGTCCCCCACCCTCGCCCGTCTCCTCCAGGAGCCCAGGTACAGGCTAGGCTCCGGGGGTCACCACCACCGGGGTCTGCTGCTGCTGCAAATTACTGGACACCAAAATGTCCCTGTCTGGTTACAGATTGCTCAGCCTTGTTCTTTCTAAACCTAATTTTCAAAGGTCATCACCACCTCCAATCATTGGGCTCCTCTGCCTTCTTCTATTTCATCTCTGCCTTCCCGTATCGAAACTGCCCCAAAGGTAGAAAATATGTTAATGATTAGAAACTATAAAAAAATGGTTTCTATGCTTGTAAGTGAGGACAGAGAATAATGAAACCCTGAATCAGAGGACTAAGGAGTTCTGCACCCCATTCCACGTTTGGCACAACTTCTGCGTGTCTGTAACTAATACCGCCTTGTAACATTTTTCATCTCCAAGACTACACTGTTGTGGATGATGCTGGGTCCCACCCAGAGACCCTTAACCAGCCAGTGTTTCTATCACCCAGTGACTGATTTGGCTGATAATTCACAGCTGCCCTCTCTCTGTCAAATGACTCTCAGGCAAATGGGAACCACCTACCAGGGAAGTACACAGCACCCCACCCCCGCCCGGGCACACCTCAGGAGTGACTAACTGGTGTACGGGTTTTTATTCAAGGACAGGACAGTCCCCTTGCATCAAAATGGGACCCATTGCATTTTGTAAGTGCAATTCATCATCCAGAGCTTCTCCCATAGGATCAGATGGAAACTAATCTCTAGCTGAGGCCCTGTGGCTGATTAACGTTTCCCTTACCTTGTTCTGCTTCTCTCAAAGACACAGCCCTCTGCGCCAC